AATTTCATGGCCGTTGTAAAATCACGTTGTGTCGAATGGGTGTCGCTGTTGTGACGATTATCATCGGACGATATATCGTGGAGAACTGGAAGAAGTTTGTCGCTCACAATACTTGCGATCAAATGGGTAAGTTTCTGAGTACCATGCCACACGTCCCTCTGCAAACTTTTTGGGTGCAGTTCGGCTTGGTGTGGGTAATATACTGGGGGAGGGGGGAGGGGGGAACTCGTCTGGCCACTTTGTGAAGACCAGTGAATTCCTGTGACCAAAGTAGCTCATTCGCACCATTTCACAGCTCCACTGTAGTTTACAGGCCTTAGATGAGTAAGACCTGTTATTAAACATTACCCAACAGGGGAAACTAGCGAGAATGCAAAATGCCCCTCCGAACCGAGCAGCTCCGCTTTTTGCAAGAAAAACATTTGCGACAGTTCTCCTTTACACTACCCGCATACACTGCAACAGTCTTTCGCAATGGGGGCCGGTTTTTCCACGTACTTCTTTTTCGAGAGCAATCCTGACAAATATTCTGCAACCCTGGTAGTTTGAGTAGTGTAATCATTGCGCTAGGTGCTGACGCCGTGATCATAAGCCAAGCGTGGAGAGCCTGTAGCTCAGCAGTGACTGCGAAAGAAAAGGGTCCAATTAGACAATTGGAGGTGGTCGATCCAAGCGTACAGTCTGCTTCTTTGGGAACGGTTGGGCGTCTTACAGCGTTGGGTTTTCCTGGCGGCGAGCTATTCTCTACCAGTGTGGAAAGTGGCACGCGACCAGAGCGTTTCGAGAACAGGCTGGCGCCGCGCAAAACCCAGCTCTCGTGGAATGCCCCAGCCTCCGCAGTAAACAATGGAGGAGGTTGTTCATCATCTCATGAAGATTATTTTCAGTGTTCTCCACGGTAGCCTTCTCGGAATGGCTTTTTGTGATGATGATGCTAGTCAGCTATGCGCTGGATCTAATCGACGGACGATCACTCTACATCACTATAGATGTCGCCGAAGAAACAACATTTCACTCCCCTGCAGTGAAAGAAATATTCGTAGTACTTTTTGATTGCTTGTTACTCAAATTGTACAGCCATAATTTAAGATAACAACGTACTAATTTAAGGTTAAAATAATGTAAAGGATAAATATAAATTATTACCGATTATGCTAGAATAACACCTGGCCACAATACTTATTACCTTGCTTTGTTCGAAGTCAATGAGTTAGCTCACGAACAACTGCAAACGATTTGGTCAAAATCGTGATTTCATCGAGTTTATGGTCTCCTAAAGTAGAAAAAGGGCTTTGTCACTGACCTGCGTGCTCGCGCAAATGCAGCCATGTTCGCTGCTCATGATGGGGCGTGTCAATGAGGCTGAAGCGGCAAAGCGACAGCGAGTGGTGAAAAACGTCCTATACGAACGATATGTTATAGTCTTGTTGTTTGCTGGAAAGAAAAAGGGGAAAAAACCCGCTGACAGTTGTTCCAAATAGAAGTATACCATCCCACGCATGCTCAAACGAAGCCACGCCCTGCCCGTCTCTGTGATATAAAATGAAATTGTTTGTTTTATAGTCAGATCATCAAGAACTTTTTATCGCAAGCCATTACAGAAATCACGTTGTGTTATTATGAATTACGTGAAGGCAGTGCTGCAGGCCTTGATGGACCCGTGATCATTCTGCCGCGAAAGCGGATCAACGGTTAATAGTGATAACACAAACTGGATCATTATGCCACCGAAACAGTGGCTTGTCGAACCGCTGCACCGGCAGCTGTGTGGGCGATTTCTAGTGATCTAGAATATGCCTTCTCCATGCGATAATTCTGGAATCAGTCATAGCCTTTGATCGGCTGTTTCCACGTCGTCATCATCGGCGAAGGTGTTGAGCCTTTCAATTGAAGAATTCGAGGAGGCTGGTTTCTTTAGCGAACTGGTTAGGAGACCTGAAATCGTCGAATAGTTTCAGGCTGTGGATTTGCTTCTAGTTCAATGCGAAGAATTATTTCCAACCTTTA